ATTGTTGAAAAGAAGAACAACTTGATAAGAAGAACAACTTGATAATTTATATTCCATACAATGAAGACAGTCACTGAAAAGAAAAAATTAGTGAAATTGTAACTTACTGGGCAAAATTTTGTCAAAATACAATGTCAGTGCCATATAGAGAAGAGCATCCAACAGCAACATGAAGAGGGTAGCTATGATTAGAGATGGGTTGCTTGGAGAACCCAAAGGGAGGTTAGAATTCACATCATAGTCCAAATGGATAAGCTGGAAAAAAACAACAAAAAAGAAAGAAAGTTGAATTTAAAATAAACAAGGTAGTACTAAGAAGTGTTATTATTTTATCTCTGCTCAGCACTGGGGTTGCAAAACTCCCTAAGACACACTTCCTGTCATTACCCAGAGCTCAGATGTGCTGGAAGACATAGCAATGAAAGCATCTAACAACAAAATGTACTTGGTGGAGGTGGGTACTGAGTACTAAGCAGGTAGGTCCTCTAGGAGGAGGGAGACACTCATGGAAAGCCCTACCTAGCTGATCCACATCTAAGGCATCATCAAGATAAAACCCAAAACCCCACTGCTATTGAGTCAATTCCAACTCATAGAGACCCTCTAGGACAGAGTAGAACTTCTCCTTGGTGGTGGTGGTGGTTACGTGCTGTGGAGTTGGTTCCAACTCAGAGTGACCCTCTACAGGGTTTCTGAAGCTGTAAATCTTTACGGGAGCAGAAAGCCCCGTCTTTCTCCCACAGAACATCTGGTAGTTTTGAACTGCTGACCTTGCCGTTTGTAGCCCTATTCGTAACCACTACGCTGCCAGATAACTTCTCCTTAGAGTTTCTAAAACTGTAAATCTTTATGAAAGCAGACAGCTCATCTTTCTCCCACTAAGGAGTTACTGGGTTTACCAGCCCAGTGCTGAATCCACAGCACCACCAGGGCTCTTTCATCAGGCTGGTAGTTGTGTGCCATAGAGTCGGTTCTGACTCAGCAACCCTTCATAAAATTTCTGAGAGCTGCTGGTAGATTTGAACCACCGATCTTGTAGTTACCAGTCCAGTGTTTATTCTTGGTAAGAAAGGAGGGCATTCTAGACAGGAGCTACCATTCAAGACTGAAAATCTGGAGGAGTTAAAGCACTTCAACCTCTGAGAAATACAAAAGAACGCATCTGCTTACTGAAATAAACTAAGATATGAGAAGTTTAAGGGCGCTTTGGTGGAGCAGTAGTTAAAGCACTCAGTTTTTAACTCTCAGGCTGGAGGTTCAAATCTACCAACAGTTCTGTGGGAGAAAGATGTCACCATCAGCTTTTGTAAAGTTTTCCAGCGTTGGAAACAACCTACATGTCTATCAGCTCTCCAGGACCACTGTAGGTTCACTATGAGTTGGAATTCACTCAACACCAGTTGGGTTGGTTTTTTGGCATAGCGGTTTTAGATAGTACACCCTTTCATTTATGGTGATAATATCATGAGTAGGATTAATTATTTTGCAAAGAGGTTCAACAAAAATGTATAGAGCATGGAACTAGCCAATTAAAAGTAGAAATTCAACTTTCACCCAATTCCTGATTTACAAATGTTTGTGACAATATTAAGGATTGTGTTTTCTGAACATTAAATCAGATATTTATTGGGATAATCCATTAAAAGTAGAATCTAAACCTCATCAATGAGAGAATGTCATCCTTGATTTAGTGACTTAAAAGAAAAGTAATTGTATTGAGAGGAATATATAGACCACTCCTATTTCTTTCGTGCTTATATTTGCAATAGCAGGTGGGGTTTTAATGCTTAGGACATCTAGCATGAATTAAGAAGAGGAAATCTTATGTTTACATTGACTTCTACTCCTCCACATCCTCCCCCACCCCCCATCCCTGCAAAAAAACAACAACAATGAAACGAACTATTATTATTGAGTCAATTCAACTCATTGTCTCTTACCTGGGACATTCCAGCAGTGAAGGCAAAGGGGCTAAGAAGACACAAGGTCCACTCCAGAAATGCAGGAAGGTGTCTGTACAATGCAGTGAATCCCAGGCTGCCCCAAAACACAGTGAGGAGGAACATGACCAGACCAGTGAGGAAAGGCTTCTTTATCAACACACTCATCAGGAAAGCTAAAGTTATCTGAGAGGAGAGAGAACCCTCAGTATGTGCACAATGCTCAAGCATCATTGGTAGTGCCATAGAACTTTATGCCACAAAGTATAATTCAAACACGTTTCCACTTCTAGATAATTGCTCCATACAAATACTGTAAACAGAACAAGTGTGGCTAGAATCATAGCCCAAGGACAGTAAACTAGCAGGTTTTCATTGGGAAAAAGCCCTACTGAGAGACAGAAGGAGAGGGAGGGAGAGGGAGAGTCAGAGGGAGAAAGAGAGAGAAAAAAAGAAGAAGAAGAGGAAGAAGAAGATAAAGAAAATGAAGAGGAAAATTAAAAGAGAAAGAGAAGAGATGAGAAGGGACAGGAAAGGAAGGATATGGGATATTAAACTCACCAACTCACCAAAGACAGACCGTATAGGAGAAATAGGATGAAGACCACCATGAAGCCAGTCAGGACAATCACTTGGGCAGATTTTATAATCAGAGCCATCAAAGTGGATATAATAGGAATGAAGCCAGCATACATCAAACCCCAGGAGAGCCTAGCACAGAAATGAAAGCATCAGGTCAGCATGCTGATATGGTACCGCTTCATTCATTCATTTTCTCAGCAAATCATTTGGGAAGCCTACTGTGAATCAAGAGTGAAGGGACTATGATGGCTAGTAGATCAGAAAACTTCCCTGACCTTGGAGCTCATATTCAAGGGGGCAGAATGGTAGGCTAGCAGGTAAACTCGGGAGTTAATTGTAGAATGTGAAGGAAATTAGCTGGGTGACATCATGAAAGTGACTAGGCTTGATTATGGAGGAATGTCCCTCAGGATTGGTCAGCTCTAGATTTATTCTTTCAGTGCAGTGATTATGTAAACACCTTGAACAAAAATAGAATTGGTGTCCAACATACAATTGATACAACAGCAGTTAACAAACTTTTTCTGTAAAGGGACAGGATAGTAGATATCTTAGGCTTTGAGAGTTCTTTCTGTCTCTGTTGTAATACTTTACAATCTTTGTAGCACAAAAATAGCCAGAGACAATATGTAACTGGATGAGTATGGCTGTATTCCAATAAAACTTTATTTGTGGACACACAAAAATGTGAATTCCAAAATTCAAAGTTCTTTTCAAAGTTCTATTAACTCTTATTAATGATTGAGTATTTTAGTTTTCTCTGCCCCACATGTAAGCCATTTTACATATGTTTTTCTTTCCCATTTAATCTTTGTGGCTAATAGGAACTAGTTAGTATTATCAATTTTTTTACAGAGAGGAAAATTGAGGTTTAAAGAGATGAACTAACTTGGCAAGAAGGTAGATTCTACAGGCTGAGATGGTTTCCTGCTTCCCAGGCCCATGTTCTTACCACCCTGCAACTCTGCCTATATCCAGGAAAGTTTTATGTTGAAAGAACAGATCAGCTCCTTTTCCTCAATGTTATACAATCCATGACTCATTCAACTGAGATTATAATCAATCACCATCTCTAACAAAGTGTGCCACATAAGTGTCAAAGAGCATCTGAAGATGTGGTAACTAACGTCATCATTTGTGCTGACTAGTTCATCTACTACGTTCAGCTTTCTTTCATTCAGAGGATGGAAGATTATCCAACCTAGAGGTCCATCTGCTCCATCGCTCAACTGCATTATGAAAACACCAAGCTTAAATATGATATTTAGTGCATCGATAGCATTCAGCTTTCTTTAAATCAGAGAATGGATGATAATCAAGTCTAGAGGTCCATGTGCTCCATACATTTATAACTTTTACTTTATGAAAATACCAAACTTAAATATGATACTTTACAGTCTAATGAGTTCTAGCCAGCTAAGAGATTATGATGAGTGTAGTTATGTGGTTTACCAGAATGCCGAGTCTCGAAGTCCCATCATTGTCATCACTGCTTTAATGTATTGTCTTTCTCGACAAACATTGATTGATACATAGTGTATGAATGCAGAAAAAGAAATAATGCAGAAGAAAATGAAAAAATCCGTCACAATTCCTCCTTGGGCAACAAAAGGTAATGTCTTCATATGTTTCCCTGTAACTGACATGAGTTCTTCCATCACTGAATGATTGGTTGTGAGCTAAATGAAGAGATCAAGAAACAAGTTGTTATTATTAGACCAATTATAACCTTGTACTTTTTCCAGTTATAAATACTCATGTGTATCATATCTTTAAACATATGCCTTTTATAACTCCTGGCTCCTAAGAGCATCTCTCCTTACCTACTTCACGTGACAAAATTCTACTCAAGTTTCAAGACTCAGCTGAAATGTTACCGCTGTTTAGTCCATCTTTCATTTCTCAGTAGATAATGTTTACTTCTTTGCTTGGCTAGCACACCATGCTAGAATCTAATGTCTCAGGACTCAATATTCATATTCATCTCCCCTCCTACAGAGTATCCTGTGTTCTGTGTACTTCCTGATCCCCAATGCAAGAAAAATAGCTTGAATACAGTAGTTTTCAGTACATTATACCAGATTAATGAAGTGAATAAAATATAGAATAAAACAATTTGTTATATCACCATCCATCAAAATTTAATATACAATATAATTAGTTTCAATATATAACATAATTATTTCAACTTAATACTCACTTCTATGATAGCGGCATTAATGGCGGCTTGAAAAGCTACAAAACCTTTCTCCCAGAACTTTGAACCTTCACATGTCAATTTTTCATCCACTGCATGACAATGAGCTTTAGGAAAAGGAGAACACAACCATTCTTAGTGGGAGGGGACAATCTTGATTTGAGGATAGATCATAATACACATTATTTCCAAAGTTCAACTATCCCAATATGGACTGAAAACCCATGATGATATAGTGAGTGCTATGAATTCTCAGATGTGTGTGTAGAGTACACCTTAAGAAACTATAGCAGAATTGCTTTATTAATTTTAAAATCCATTCTGAGTGAATTTTTTATTCAATATGTATCACTCCATTATTTAAGAATATTGTGTCGAGTTTTCTCTTCTATTGTTGGTGCCAACCTTCCCCCAAAACACATTAAATTTAAAAACAAATGTGAGGAAGGGGGGAGAAATCATTGAATTAGAGCCCATCTATGCCATTCCGCAGGAAAAAAAGATGAGGCTTTCTGCTCCCGTAAAGATTTACAGCCTCGGAAACCCTGTGCAGGGTCACTATGAGTCGGAACCAACTCCATGATATTTCACAATAATAACAATGAGGTCTTTTGTAGGGGTAACATAGGACTAATTAGTAGCATAATAATTCCTTAATAAAATTAATTACTTAAGGATATAGGTTTCATTTAATAAAGATAAATCCCGTTTAAATTCAAGAAAAATATGTATGTGTATTTAGCTGATTTCTGTTATCACATATGATCCCTTGTACCTCATGATTTCATAGCAAAAACAAACAATATCTAACATGAAAATTACCTGAATGGTCTCTATATTCCTTCATCCTGGGAATTCTTTGTCCCCAAGAAAACTTCAAATGATATGAGAAAGTATCATTAAAGAGAATTCTTACTACATCAATAGAGTCGTTTAATTCCAATTCACTCATTCCTCCTTCATTAGGATATCCCATAATTGTTCTTCCTGACATATGTAAAAAGAAAATTATGTAAGAACATGATTTCTACGTGGCTCAAGGCAGCATGCCATATTCAATTGCTTTGAAATGATTTCTTTACTATATGTGTTGCTGGTACTAAACAAGACATCCTACTTTCTCAGTGGAGAAAGAATTGGAAGAGAGAGAGGCTAATTTGTGCTGAGAAACTATAGAGTTAATATGTAGCATTCACTTTTAATTAGATAGATACTATGCCTTTCCAAACTGGTGATTTATTAAATAATTTAGAATGAAATGGATTAGGCATAGTAATGATGCAATGCATACATTTGGACTCATAGAACTATTACTGTTGTTAGGTGTCGCCAAGTTGGTTCCAACCCACAGTGACCCTGTGCTCAACAGGACACTGCCCGTCCCTGTGCCAACCTTACAATTGTAACAGTTGAGCCCTCTGTTGCTACCACAATGTAACTATGTTGTTGTTAAGTGTCATTGAGTTGGTTCCCACTCATAGCGAGCCTGTGTAGGGTTTCTGAGAAGCAGCTTGTGGTTTTGAACTGCTGACCTGTGGGTTAGCAGTCTAGTGCTTATCCTATAGCACAACACCAAAGTTGCAATATATTCTTGTTGCTGTTAAAGTGTCATGGAGTCAGTTGTGACTCATAGAGACCCTGTATGAGGGGTTCCAAGTAGTGGTTGGTAGGTTTGAACTGCTGACATTGTAGTTAGTAGTTTAGAGCTTATCCTTCAAAAAGTTCATGGAAAACTTAAATTAAAAAGTAATGAAAAAGTTCCATGAACTTTTTGAAGCTCCTTCATATATTATTATATGTTGCAGTTATATTAAATAATATATAACTATATATTTGAATCGCAAGTTTGGCCATTCAGATCTACCAGTGGCTCCTTGGTAACCCTAAACAGGGTTGTTATGAGTTGGAAACAACTCGACAATACTAAACAACAACAACATATACACGACATGGAGTTTCTGTAGAACAAGTATTGGACTGCTAACCACAAGATCAGCTGTTCAAATCCACCAGCTGCTCCTCAGAAATCCTATACAGGATCACTATGAGCTGGAACCAACTTGGCACCACTTAACAACAACAACAACATAACATGAAGTCCAGATGCGGTTCTGTAGGATACATTGTTGTTGTTGTTGTTGTTGTTGTTATGTGCTGTGGAGTCATAGGGACCCTGTACAGGGTTTCCGAGGCTATACATCTTTACGGAAGCAGAAAGTCTCATCTTTCTCCCACGGAACAGCTGGTAGTTTCGAACTGCTGACTTTGCGGTTCGCAGCCCGATTTGTAACCACTACGCTATCAGAGGATAAATACTGGGTTGCTAATTACTAGCAGTTCCTTAGAAACCCTATACAGGGTTTCTATGAGTCAGAAGAGACTGGACACTTAGAAACAGCAACATATAGCAAATCAAAAGATATACATATAATATATAAATGCATATTTATATGCATGCACTTGTAGACATGATTGTATACACACACACATACATATATGTTGCTGTTAAGTGCCACCGAGTCAGTCCTGATTGTTAGTGACTCTGTAATGGATTTCAGAGGCATTTTAAATCTTCACAAGAGTAGAAAGCCTCATCTTTCTTTCATGGAGTGGCCTCAAACTGCAGTTCTTGAGGTTCATAGTCCAGTGCTTGTCATATGAAGCCACTGCATTTCTGTATATGTATATTATTGTTATATTGTTGTTATTAAGTGCCATCAAATTGGTTCTGAGTCTTAGGGACCCTGTATAGACTTCCAATGTTGCACATTTTCACGCTAGCCGAAATGTTCATCTTTTTCCCAGGGAGCGCCTGGCAAACTAAAACTGCTGAGTTTGTATTTAGAAGCCCACAGAGTAACCCACTATGTTACCAGGATCTTTAACATGCTGTCTACAAAAGACACATCAAAAAGATGGAGACAGCCTAAATGCTCATCAACAGAAGAATGGTTAAACAAATTGATGAAGATCAAAGACCACAGTCTTCTGTATGGGTTGCACCTCAATATAAACAAACAAAACAAAAATCCTCACCATTGGACCAATAAATAGTATCCATATACATGGAGAAAAAAATTGAAGTTGTCAAGGACTTCATTTTGCTCAGGTCAACCATCAACACTCATGGAAGCAGCAGTCAAGAAATCAAATGACATGTTGCATTAGACAAATCTGCTGCACAAGACCTCTTTGAAGTGTTTTAGAGCAAAGAGGTCAGTTTGAGAACTAAGGTAGCCTGACCCAACCCATAGTATATTCAATAACCTCATATGCATGTGAAAGTTGGACAGTGATTACGGAAGACCATAGAAGAATTGATGCATTTGATTTATGGTATTGACGGAGAATATTAAAAGTACCATGGACTGCCAAAATAGCAAACCAATCAGTTTTGGAAGAAGTACAACCAGAATGCTCCTTGGAAGCTGGGATAACCAGACTTTGTGTCTCATACTTCAGACATATTATCAGGATGGAACAATCACTGGAGAAGGACGTCATGCTTGGTAAAGTGGAGGGTCAGTGAAAAAGAGGAAGACCCCCAACAAGATGGATTGGCACAATGGTAGCAATGGGCTCAAATGTAGCAATGATTGTGAGGTTCAAGTAGGACTGGGCAGTGTTTTTCTATTGTGCATGAGATTGCTATAAGTCACTATCGACTTGATGGCAACTAACAACAACAACCACAAACAATGGAACATATTAACATCTCTTGTTCATGACTCGGAGACCAGAAGAACTAGATGGGACTTGCTACCAGTTCCAAATACTCTGAATGGGATCACATGAAAAGGTCTTGGATAGAGTGGGAGGAAATGTGGAACAAAACTTGAAATTATAAAATAAAAAACAAAAGACCAGGCTTAGTGGTCAGAAAAAGGCTGGAAAAACCTGAGACTATAGCCTTCAACCACCTGTGAGATCAGTCAAACAGTAGACAGATACACTAAGTCGGGGACAACAACACTAATAAGGTATGTTCACCATGGAATCATCAATCATGCAAATTCAGAGGGCAACATTTACCTAAGGACAAAGTTGTGAAGGGGTGGGAAGATGGGTGGAATACAAATAAAAATCACAGGAAGGAAGTCGAATAGCTGTTGCTGCATGGAGGGGATTCCAATCAACCAAGTACATGATTTGTTGGATGTAAAGCTGACGATCTTGTCTGTAAGCTTTCACTCAATTCACAATAAAAAAGTAAAAAATAAAAAGTAAGAACTAACCAGAAAATCACCCTGGTGGCCCAATTTTCAGCCAAGCAGTAGATAGGTACACAGTGGGGAATCATTCAAATTCAAAATGGTAATATTTATCTAACATTTGTTTTTAATAAATTTTTTCAACTTTCTATTGTGAATTGAGTGAAGGTTTACAGACAAGATCATCAGATGTCTTAGTGGACTATGTTATGTCAAATGACCATGGGGACCCTGAGCCCCAGGCCCAGTAACTCCTTGTCTTTAGGTGTTTGATGTTATCTATGAAATTTTCTTTGGAAACCCTGTGCAGGGTCTCTATGAGCCTGAACTGACTCGATGACACTTGATAACAATACACTAATGTATGTATTAATGTAGTATATAAGGTGACATTTTGAAGCCCTTTCTCATATTTCCACTTGACAATGATGTCAATGTGGCCAAATTTCCAAAGACAACAAACATAATATGCAGAATTTGAACACTGTTTCCTCAAGACACTTTTAGTGTAAAGTCTATAAGGAAAATGCATGACAGTTACTGAGATCTCAACTGAGAGTGAGTTTCCTGCTTTTCAGTCAGAATTCAGTCAGAGCTCTGGGATGAGAGCCTGAGGCTTGGCACAGTTTAATTTGCAAGGAGACAAAGAGAACTCTGTCTCTGTTTTAGTAACTGGATCAGGATGGGCATGTGCTCTGTGTCACTCAGAACCTGTGAGCATCAGAGCTGGTGCTTTTATTGGACCTCTTGAGGAGGAATTACGTCTTCCCCTGAAGTTGATCACTTCTTCATCCAAGTGTTGTTGTTGTTGTTAAGTTCCATGGAATCCGTTCCGACTCATAATGACCCTGTACAGGGTTTCCGAGGCTGTAAATCTTTGCGAGAGCAGAAAGTCTCATCTTTCTCCCTTGGAACAGCTGATAGTTTCAAACTACTGACCTAGCGGTTCGCAGCCCGATTCGTAACCACTACGCTACCAGAGCTCCTTAAGTGTAGAGCCCTGTATTCCCACTGTCTTTAATATCCAGGTTTCCTTCCATAGCTTTCTCTTCTTCATAATTTATTTAAACTATATGATTTCCCATCCTTTCTCATACTTTGGACATATTGTCAGAAGGGAGCAGTCACTGGAGAAGGATATCATGTTTAGTAAGGTGGAGGGTCAGAGGAAAAGAGGAAGACCCCAACAAGATGGATTGGCCAAGTGGCAGCATCAATGGACTCCAGTATGACAACAGTAGTGAGGTTGGCCCAGGATTGGGCAGTGTTTTGTTCTCTGCATAAGGTCGCTATGGGTTGGTACCGACTCGATGGCACCTAACAACAACAACATGATTTCCCATAGTATGGATTTTGTTGTGTGCAATCCAACATGCCCTCTATAATCATTATCCTTTGTTGTTATTCAGTACCATCGAGTCAATACCGACTCATAGCAACCCTATGCACAACTGAACGAAACACTGCCTGGTCCTGCGCCAACCTCACAATCATTACTATGTTTGAGCCCATTGCTGCTGCCACTATGCCAGTCCATCTTGTTGGTGGTCTTCCTGTTTTCTCTGACCCTTCACTTGACCAAACATGATATTCTTCTCCAGGTACTGGTTCCTCTTGATAAGCTCTGAAGTATGAATGACGAAATCTGGCCATCCTGACTTCCAAGGAGCTTTCTGACTGTACATCTTCCAACACAGATTGGTTTGTTCTTTTGGCAATTGATGGTCTGTTCCATAGTTTGCCCCCTGGACTTGTTTTGGCTGATGATATGGAGAT